ATGTTCCTCCAGCTCCACACTGTGTTATCTGACTGCAGCATCGGCAGTTCTTACTATCTCTTAATGGGACTGGAGATGGCTGATAATAACCTATGTGCAACAGACAGACCTTGCTATATGCAGGAAACAGATTCTTCACTCTAATTTGTCTATGCCAACCAGTTTTCCCAAACTAAACTAATCCCTTTTGCCTGCATTTTCACCACATCCCTCTAAAACTTTCCTATTCATGTATCTTTCCAAATGTCTTTGTTGCAACTGTGTCTGCATCCAACACTTCCTTGGTTGGTTCATTCCAACCCTGTGTGAAAAAGATGCCCCTCAGGACCCTTTTATATGTTTCTCCTCTCACCTTAAAATATGTCCCCTAGTTTTGAACTCCCCAACCTAGGGGAAAGACCTTTGCTGTTCACCTTACCTATGCCCCTCGATTTTATAAACCTTTTTAAGGTCATCCCTTAACATTCTATGCTCCAGTGAAAAGTCCCAGCTTATCCTTATAAATCAAACCCTCCAGTCTCAGCAACATCCTGGTAAATCTTTTCTGAACTCTCTCCAAATTAATAATTTCCTTCTTATAGCAGGACAACCAGAACTGCACAGTACTCCAGACATGGCCTCACCAATGTCCTGTACAGCCTTAAAATGACATCCCATCGCCCATACTCAATGACCTGAGCAATGAAGACAAGTGTGCTAAACACATTCTTAACCACCCTACCATTAATTGTATAAGTCCTGCCCTTTTTCATTTTACCAAAATAAATAGTGCTAATGCTCAGTTCAACAGTTGCTTTGGTAGTCTAGTAGCAAGCAAGGTTCTGCTCGCCACAGCTGGTTTTGAGCAATTAGTAACTTATTGCTGGGTACATTATAGAGTTACACATTGTACAGCATAGAAACAGACCGTTCGGTTTAACTCATCTGTGCTGACCAGATATCCTAAATTAATCCAGTCCCATTTGCCAGCATTTGGCCCATATCTTTCTAAACCCTTCCTATTCATGTCCCCATCCACATGCCTTTTAAATGTTATAATTGTACCAAGTTCAACCATGCCCTCTGCACGAAAAAGTTGCCCTATAGGTCTCTTAAATCTTCCCTCTCACACCTTAAACCCATTCCCACGAGTTTAGGACTCCCCTACCCTGGGGAAAAACACCCTGGCTGTTCACCTTATCTGTACCCCTTTTATAAACATTTATAACGTCACCCCTCAGCCTCCGATGCTCCAGGGAAATAGCCTCTCCTTGTAAGTTCAAGCCCTCCAAACCTGGCAAAATCTTTAAATATTTTCTGCACCCTTTTTGAACTGGGAGAGGATGCCATTGTTGCACTTTCTCACTTTGTGTGTTTGGAGGATCTCACAAAGCCATTGCATGAGGTACTTTTTAAAACTTTATTTTGTCACAGGATGTAAACAATGCAAGGCTCAACATTTGCTATCCATCCTTAAATCGCACTGGAGAAAGTGAATAAGCAGGGTTCACCACAGCGCATCCTACATCGGATGAATCTTTTCTGTCTAACATTGCAAATCAGACAGATGTGCTGAAAGATTTCCCAATTATTGTTTGCAAAAGACAAAATCACTTGGTAATACACTATAACAACAAACACCAGCGAGAGTAAAGCTCTTCAGCAGACCAACCTGCTGAATGTAAAGCTAACTGCAAGATTCCATTGATCCTATTTCTCCACTCAATACTTGTACTGTTAACCATATCCCCATTATGTCCAGTTAGCTCAAACACAGAGCCAGATTGTCGCATCTTACAAGCTTAATGTGGTCTGAGGTGCTTAATTAGACTGGACTTTAAATCCCCAAATTGGCATGCTGACATCTAAAGTGTTAAAAAGAAATAAATGCTGTGTTGGAAATACGATGTCACCCGTCATGAAAGAGGAAAATCAACCAGCTTTCATTTTGAAATCACTGACAAGCTATTAAGCCCGTTAAAAACCCCAACCCCATCGTCTGCAATTTTGTTTTGCCCACTGTACTTTTCAGGTGTTGACCAATACCAACTTGTGGAGTCTTTTATGCCAGCTGAGTCAAGACAACACAACAGTAGTAGAAAAGGCCAACCACCAGGTTAACGTACCAACAGATTCTCCTGGGGAAGCTGGCAGTATCTGCATTTGAAATAAAAATTAAATCATCTTTTGATCCTGGATTACATAAGAATTGATGAGGAAAGCAACACCTGTGTGAAATTCTAGCCATGAAACACTTTTTGCAGGACTTTCCCTTTGGCCTGGCTTACAATACGAATATCAGCTCAAAAACAAATTGCCGGGGAAATTCAGCAGGTCTGGGAGCAAGCAACATTAATGTCTTGAGTCTGGTAACTCTTCATCTGAAGCAGGGTTACTGGACCCGAAACATTAATTCCACTTTCTCCCTCCAGATGCTGCCAGACTTGCTGAGTTTCACTAGCAATTTGTTTTTCTTACAGATTTTGAGTATCCACAGTTCTTTGGTTTATTTTAAAGGATCAGTTTTCCTGGCAAGAACCTTGCACAGGTTTGGAATTATACTGATGTTAGTACACAAAATGAGATACAAAGGACAGGAACTTGGGACACTTCTGACTCAGTTGGACACTTTCCAAAAGCAGTACCTTGTAAAATTTTCCAATTTCAGTCCAAAAGGCATGGAGCATTCCAAATTGCAACAATAATTCATTGGAACAAAACAAATGATAGTGCATAGGGAGTAAGAATTAGAGGTTTACAGTCTCAAAACATTGACCTGTATATCATGCTAATTATTCCTCAGACACCAAACACATAAAAGACAGATAAATCTGATATCTACCTTATTGGTTTGTGAAACCTTACTGGACTGCAATTAGACAACACCCAAGTTGTAGTCCAACAGGTTTATTCAAAATCACAAGCTTTTATAGCGTAGCCCCTTTGTCAGTGAAGTAGAAAGAAGCACAAGAAATTTATAGGCAGGGAGATCAAGAGCAGAAAGATCATATAAATGCTGTGAGTGCAGTGTCAAATAGCAAGTTTCTACAGGTGATCAAGTGTCAGACAGTGCAAGTATCAACAGCTGACTAACATGCCAAGAGGTGACCTATAAGCCAATTAAATGAGGCAGAGAGATAATTACAAAATATAAAGGGGAGGTGCTGGAGACAAACCAAATGACTGGAATAACATGATAGGTATAAGAGTAAGTTATTATCCAAGTAATAAGTAATCAAAACTGTACAAACTAATTAAAGGTAGAGAGATCACATTTATCAAGGTGATGGCCTCAAAACAGGACAGTAAAGATTTTACAGATACAGAATTTATCGACATAAACCTAAGATCACGGTTGAGGCAGTCATCATGGGTACGGAACTTAGCTATCAGTTTTTGCTCGGCAATTCTGCATTGTGGTGTATCTCAGAAAGCCGCCTTGGAGGATGCTTAGTCATCCAGTACTGCCCCGGAGTGGCGAGACTATGCTATGTTCTTTGCAGCCTTCAACATATCATCGATCATAACGAACATCCTACCAAGATCATTCCTACACTTCCATTTCTCGCCTTGAAACAACTGCTAAACCTTAAACAGAGTATCATTCACAGAAAACTACCCAGCCTTCAGAACATCAACCACAACACCACACAAGCTTGCCACAGCAACCTCCACAAGACATGTCAGACCATCGACATGGATACCACCATCACACATAGGAACACCACCCACCACATACACTGCAGATATTCATGTGACTTGACCAATGTTGTCTCTCTCTCTCACGCTGCAGGCAAGGATGCCTTGAGGCATGGTATATTGGCGAGACTGCGCAGATGCTACGACAGCGGATGAATGAACACCATGCAACAATCACCAGACAGGAATATTCCCTATCAGTTGAGGGAACACTTCAACAGTCAAGGACATTCAGCTTCTGATCTTCAGGTAAGCATCCTCCAAAGCTGCCTTCTGATCTCTCCGCCTATAAATTCGGTGTCCTTCTCTCTCACTTCACCTGACAAAGGGGCAATGCTATGAAAGTTTGATTTCAAATAAACCAGTTGCACAATAACCTGGTGTTCTCTAATTTTATTTGTCCACCCCAGTTCATCACTAGCACCCCCACATCATGGTCAGTAATTTACTGGCATACTTAAATGAACAAACGCCACCATCGGGATGTAGGGGACGTGAAATTTGTCCCTTAGATGCAAGTCCTCCCTCAAATATGTTTCAATAGTTACTACAGGAAAAGCATTAACATCCAGAGCTGCTCCCAACCTGAAGTTGGTGCATATGGGTGAAAAAGCCTCTGGCTCACAACAATTTAAACAAAACTTCAGATCAAACCTAAAAACTTTCAGAAAGGTGACAGTAATGAGCAATGGACAGGTACATTGCTCAGACTGAGAGATTCTGTTCATGAACATGTCCTTACTTCTGTTGTGCTCCAGATACACTAACTTAAAGATTTTAAAATCAACTATGTATTTGCACATACATATCACACTTAGATTCCTTTAGGAACATGCACAAATGACTCAAGAGGCCAGATATTTTAAACGAAATGTGCTCTCTTTATTTAAACTGGGGTCATCTGTCTTTATTTTGCAGTTTATTCTACAGCCATTCTGAAGGGAAATCTACATCTTTAAATTAAAAAATAAGTCAGATGTAAATAGTACAAAATTTCTCCTAAAAATTGTAACGTCTGTGTTCAAATGTTTCAATTTTAAACATAAAGTATACTAGGGTAAAACAAAGGCTCAGAGTAAGGAACAAATCAAAAAAATGAAATCAAGAGTTATATGGTACAGCAGAATATTTCTCCTAAACCTTGCAACACTCAGAGCACAAAGAGATCATTGTGCTGTTGGGAAAAGAGGAGAATAAATTCAAAAAACAAAAAAAAAAAAAAATGCAGTCCACAGCCCACAGCGTATCCTTCAAACTCCTTTTAAATTTTTTTTGTTGTTTTTGTTATTTAATCAAGTGATTGTCACAAAAGAGTCACAAAATTAAGGAATTTCTGGCCAAGTTTACACCAGAATATACTCCTTTATTTCCTTTCCCTGCCATGGTTAACGCCTGTAAGGATGGAACCCCTGAGCATTGTGGTTCTGACCGCGGGCAAATCCACCTGGTGCGGATGGTGGAGCCCCTGGAGGTGCTGGTGCTGAGGGTCCTCCAAATGAGGGAGCGGGCTGATTTGGATCCGAGAAACCTGGGGCTTGGCCAAAACCACTCATATCTTGCCCATAACCTATTAAACAAATAGAACAGAAAAAGTTACAACTGCTTAAGAGGATAGGTGCAAACTAAAGTCATCATTAACTTAACAGAAAGCAACTTTACAAAAATCAAACTAATTTGCATAATTAGATCATCCTTGTACCAGCACAACAAATGCTCAACTGATTTAGCACACTATTCTCCCATTTAAAATAAAAACTAAGTGAGTAAGGACTACATCCTACTTAAGCTACTCATCTTTGTTGAAGCAAGGCAGTTCAAAGTCTATGCAACACCTACCTGCTGCACTATATCCCTGCTCAGCCTGACCGTAAGTCTGAGAAGGACGCGTGGGTCCGTAGCCTGAAGGATCCTGAGGATAGTTACCCATGCCTATTAGGGAGATGAGGAAACCAGGATGACTACCCCAGTAAGCCTGAGCCTGCTTCAATCCATGGCATAGATGCATCAGGTCACCAATGGTATATGGATGCACAGAAATGCCAGCGAAATAGAAATACATTTAAGCAGATGTTTGGTCAGTTTTTTTATTCCATATAGGTAAATTGTGGCAACAAAACTATCAATATATAAAAAAAGTTAAAACAAATGGTGTCTAAGTTAATCATCGGAATTTCACCCCATGGGCAAGTACCTTCATTGTAGTACAGCCTGTAGAAAAGGTACTGAGCTGCACAGTATATTTGGGTATAGGGAGAAAACAAACATGCACCCCATAACAGCAAGTGAACAGAGTGTATTTTAGTGAACTACATGCTTTGGTTCAGCTACTTCCATATCAGTAAAAAGGAAAAGTTAAATCTGAATGCAAGGCCGGATAAAACAAACATCATAACCATCTTTTGAGGACTCCATTATAGTAATATTAAAATTAAAGCTTCTAAAATTGAATATTACCAGAAATTGAGAATTATAATTCATCACTGCCAAATTTACATGGAGCCCTTTTCAGACATTAAAGCCCTTGATAAATCACCATGTCCTTAGATAAGTAGCCCGGTTTTAATTTATTCATATCCTGAATTTCTTGCAATAATTTTTCACCTTAATGAAATCTGGCTGAAGCAATCATCCTGCTTACTTAAAAAACTGGAAGTTAGATTTTCAATCTAGAACAAAGAGCAGAGAGCTGCACTTAGCCAGGTTTATTAAATAAAATGGAAGTAGGTGGACCAAGGTTAAGATTCAGATCAGGAACAATAGACAGACCAACAGCTGGGTTAGAAACTTCCACATTCAAAGTTAGAACATTTTTGAGGGTGATGAAGGGAAGAGCAGATTAAAGTAGAAATCAGGAGACACAGCATTAAAAATTACAACACTGCATTGATGTAAAAAGTGAATTACTACTTTTAAGTTAATGTCTTTTAAATTAGTAATCTGCACTTGTCATCTGCTCTGACCCTTACAGTAGATTCTATTCCATTAAGTTATAAAATGCTAGAAAAGGATGATCTAATTCAACCCACCATTCTTTACCTCCATGTCTTCTGGTATTCACGCAATACCTGCTTCTATTCCCAGCAGGTAGAAGGGCCTCTGACTTCAGGAAGTCATCTGCACTGAAGGGGGTTGTGTTCTTTTCTAATCCTACAGCACCTCAAAATCCTACACTACTATTACCTACCATACTGGTTGTACCCAGGGAATTCGGGCTGTCCAGCAGGTGGCTTGCTCATGTCCTGAGGTGTCTGTGTTGCTGGTGGGTAGCCCATCTGTCCTGCTCCTGGTGTGGCAGGCGGAGCTGGTATTCCAGGTGGGCCAAACTGGTCAGCTGGAGGTGCGCCAAATCCTCCATAGCCTGAATAGCAACGAGAATTAGCTCAGGTCAGACAGGTGATAGATGTTTTAATGTTTAAAAAAAAAGAGTGGGTGGCATGATCACATTGTTTCAATGTT